AGAGGATCTTCCCTGTGGCTCCTCTCCTTAACCCAGTTCTGAGACAGGTCTGAAAGCAGTTTCACCTTAGTGACAGGCAACCCTGTCTCAATTGACCCCTCCTCCCCACCAAGCACTTGGTGTCCATTACCCCATTCCCACTAAATTGTGCTGTGCAGTCAATCGTGGTGAGCATTAGGTTCCATTAAGGGAAGCTGACCGTGGAAGGAACAGAGGAAGGACAGGCTGGGTTTACTGCATCAAGGGAACCCATTCCATCACAAAACTTCACAGAGAAGCAGGTTCAGGATTGATATTACTCACAAGGCAGAACAACTGTGGTACAAAGCAGACACTTCTGTGCAATTCTGCTGCAGTTTATATTCTGCAGCAGGGATGGGCTCTGGCTTTGCTTGGGGTTTATTTGCTGTAGGACTTGGAGAAGCTTCCCCTTGCCAACAGGATGCTTGCTGGTGACTGACTCCAATAGTGCACTTTGGTGCTGCCTGATAGCCCCACACAGGGGAGGTATCTCAGGGAGGGGTTTCTGCTTCTCATCATTGCCTCTCTGGTTTTCATTTTGGCCAGGCAGAATCCCTCCTTGAAAATGAAACAGAAGAAAAACTGTGACCTGGGTTTGTGTAGAATTACAAAAACAACATTTTTTTCTATGCAAAATCATAATCCAGACCAAGATTTCCTCAACAGACTTACAAGGCTTATGAACCTCTGAGATTCACTTTGCTCGCCTTAATTGAACTCTCCATGTCTTGAGAAAGCCAAAGGGAGGCTATGGGTGTTTTTACCTGGCATAACAAATGGTGGGGACTTTGCTAAGGAAAAATCTGGTGGACTGGTACTTCTTGTCCTCTGGTTTCTGCCAGGTAACAGCTCACTGGCGTTGTGCAGGACCTTGCAGCTTGCACTAGCTTGGAGAAATATCTGGAGAGACTTCCTAAGAAGGGGAGGGGAGGAGGGAGGCTGGTGCCTGAGTGAATCCTTTTATCCTCTGCAGAGGCTCCTAGAGCTCACCCTAGCTAGTCTGGCAGGGCATTGCGTAGTTATCCTATGACAGCAAAATATATTCCCTGACTGCATCTGGAATGTTCGTTCCTCTGTAATTGTATATACTGGAAAAAAAAGCTTTTGTTTTCTTAGCCTCCTAAAATAATCTTTTATCTGCATGCAATGCTTTTGTAAATCTTACAGACAGAACAGGCTCCAACCTGTGATTTCAGCCTTACACTCACAAACAGGAAGCTTACATTAAAAATCAGTGGTCAGACAGCAAGAAAAGGTCACTGCAAGACCATCAAGCTGGTACAGGAGCACGAGGGCAAGTTTGATGCCATCCCAAGCTAGCAGGCTCTGACATGTCCTCAGAGGCAGCCTCAAATAATGTGAGGTCCCAAGAAAGGCTGAGAAGAAAAGCCCTAAATTAGTTTCAAATCAGTGAATTTACTTGTCCTGCTGTTTCTTAATGCCTTCTCTATGGGGCTGCCCTTTGCCCTCTCTCCATCTCCCTGTTTTCCCTGCATGCCACCACCACCAGCTAGATTCTCAGCTTTTGAGAGGCCCGGTGAAATTCCTGGTTGACCTGTCATTGTGCTGGTATTAGAGAAGTCAAAGACTGCTTTGCTCAGTGTTGTGCAGTAGATCATGTGTACAATTAAGCCCATAACCAGGAGACAGACCCTCCTCCCCTTCGAGCTTGTGTAAATCTAGAGTGAATCCACTGGAGCCACTGGCATTGTGTTAATGTAAAGGAAGACAGGAACTCAAATGTTTGAGTATTTGCCACTTAGGACTAGAGTGTCTGCAGAGACATCTTTCACCAACATCTTCCAAACATCATAGTTTCGGTGATGACAGGATCCTAAATGTAAGTGAGGTGCCAGTGACTGGTTTTGTCATGTCTTCAGTCAAGCCTTAGAGCAGAGCTCCAGCCACCTCTTCCCTAACATCTTCTACCTTAGGTTCACTAAATTCCCAGTGCATTTCAGGCACGGAACTAGTTGTTACCAGCTAATCAAGATTTCAAAGGGATGTAGGGTGATTAAATTTCATGTTGGTTGGCTGTCAGTGAGATGCAGAGACTGACGAGGCAAAGCGCTTTTCTCAGCACTGAAGAACTGGCTAGCAAAATAAGGGAGATGTTTCCTTATGCGCAATTTTTTGTTGTGGAGCGAAATTTTTGTACCTACCTCTTATTTTCTAGGCTTTAAATGGTTTCTCTTTTCTTCCCGAAAGATTAAACCTGTTCCAAATGGGCCTGTTTCAGGTGGTGTTAGAGTCACATGCCAAGGTGCATGTATTACACACATGCATACACATATTGCAGATTTGCTTGGTTTCCTTCCAGCGCCTCCACTCCCACACCACATCTAGGGGGTAAGGCTGAACACTGCTGGTTCACAGCTGTCAGTTTTCAAACAAAAAAGCAACTGTTGGGAAAAAATAAAGCGGTCTCATGCTCCCCTCCCACCCAAATACGGTATGACATCAATGAAACCACACTGGTGTCACACACAGGGGAGAGAGCCAGCTGGAGACGGTGGAGAGGCGTGAAGTCTGGCATCTCACGTTCAGGGTGGAAAAGAGAACTTTATCTGGAAAATGGAATAAAATGGAGGAGTTCTGACTGAATCAGTTCTCTTTGTCCCATGGAGGTCCCATGATACCAGACCTGGAGGTGACAGCGTTTTGCAATAGAGCCTTTTGCCCATTCATCAACAGAGTCGCTGTGGCCTCCGAAGGGATCAGGGGAGGGCTTTAGGCTCTTGGAGCTTAAGTAGGTGCTGACTGACATCGTTAGGATTAATTTCATCACTCCAGGGGGCCTTGGAGAAAGCACTTGAAAATACCTTCAATTCTCATCGCATTTCTGGTGCAATAAATGAATTTGGAAAGAATCTGGATGTTAATGTTTACTGACCACATGGATCTTCTCAGAGTACCACAGTCGACATGACTAACATTTGCATATCTGTGGTAAGGCAAAAAAGAAAAGATACCTTCTTTTCACCCCTTTACATCCTGAGCTGTTTAAGTTATTAAGCAGGCCATGGAGCCATGCTCAGGAACTCTCTGGGCTGGAAGGAAAAAGCATTGCTGTGACCCAAGCACCTCTCAGGAAACCCTCCTTATTGACCAAGGTGGCTCATTGTGCTGGGTTCAGCAGTAGCAGCCATTTTTCTCCTTAGTAGCTGGTGCAGTGCTGTGTTTTTGACTTTCAGCCTGGGAACAGCATTGATAACACCGATGTTTTTAGTTGTTGCTCAGTTAATGTTTATTCTGACCAAGGACTTTCTGAGTCTCATGCTCTGCCAGGGAGGAGGGGAAGTTGAGAGGAAGCAGAGACAGGACACCTGACCCAAACTGACCAAAGAGGTATTTCATAACACAGCACGTCAAGCCCACTAGACAAACTGGGGGCAGTTACCTGGAAGGGGAAGATCACTGAGGGGGTCGGGCTGGGTATCGGTCGACGGGTGGCAAGCAGTTGTATTCTCTTCCCTTGTTATTTCCTTTACCATTATTATCATTGGTGGTAGCAGTAGTGATTTGTGTTATACCTTAGTTACTGTGCTGTTCTTATCTCAACCCGTGGGAGTTACGTTCTTTTGATTCTCCTCCCCATCCCTCCGGGAGCGGGGGGAGGAAAGGGGGGGGAGTGAGCCAGCGGCTGCATGTTTCTGGGTTGCCGGCTGGGCTTAAACCATGACACTTGTCAAGACCTGCTTCCCTGGACATGGTAGAAGCAGGCTCTTTTCTGCCCATCAGTCTTCTCTTTCTGCTGCCCCTGACCAGCTGTGCTGGCAGTGTTCAAAACCTTCCTGTGTCAGGGGCAATTTTTGTCTCCCAGCTGGCTCTAGGCTGCCCTGCCCAGGCTGTGGAGCATTAAGATGTTGATCCACAATGGCACTGCTTTTAATTTTCCCTTTTTACAGGCAGAACTAAATGCAGAGGGAGTTGGATGCTCCTTTCTAATTATTTACTTCAAAAGGCAAAGTTTTAAGTGCGCCATTGAGGACAAGAACTGCTGGAAGCTACAGCCCTGCTCCTCCTTAAGGAAATGATGGCCGTGGTCCTGCCAGGGGAGCTGAGTCAGGGTTAGTGTTTGTTAGTGCTTCTTATACCATATTTATTAGATTAACCATCCTTCCTCTGTCAGTTGAAAGGGAAAGTTAGTATTGGTGGAGTAACAGATCAGCAACCCCCTAAACAATACCAAGTGAGCTACCATTTTAGAAGTGAGTTTTGACGAACCTGGCCAGTTGCAACTCGCGGGCATTTTGCAGCCAGGGGACAGGGGACGTTAATTCTTTAATTACTGGGGCAGGGGGGAAGGGGGCAATACTGGGCTTGCTAAAATCAATAGTGAACCTGCTATTAACAGGAGGAAACGTGTGTTTGAGTGAAGCTGTCTTATGTGCGGGTGCATGATCAGTTGAAAGGGAAGCAGGGCTATGGCTGCATCCTCCACTTTTTTTAGGACTGGTTGATGATCAATAGCATGTACAAGCAACTGCCAGGTTCCATCTGTGGGAAACTGGCCTCTGCATCAGGGCCTGCTTTGCTCTTGGGTGTCAGGCAGGCATTGCGGCCATCATGTGGAGAGCCGGGCTGCGGGACGGCTATGGGATGTCCAGGACAGGCCCCAAGGGTGGTGGTGGGACCCCACAGTGGTGGTGGAATAGGCCCCCATGGTGGTGGTGCTGGGGACCACCTCATACAGTTTTGGGCCAGGGCCCCTGGGCATTCCCCTGGACAGCTCCAGGGCTTTAAGAACCGGCTTGCATAGCACTGGTACTAGTGCCTGCAGTAACTGGAGTGGGAATTGTGCCTGCGTTGCACAAAAAAGCCATAAACGAGAGCTGCTACCTGTCCCACCTCCCTACTACTCGCATCCAACAGAGACTGCTCAGCTGGACACACAGTGGATGGATGCTTCTTTTCAAGGGCCATACTGAAAATCCTGAAATCCATACTGAAATCACAGTCTCAGCCTTGGTTTTAATTCCATTTTTATTCTGAAGTTGTTTAATATTTTGCTAAAAGATAGTATAAAAAAAATATCCAACCCAACAGTGTGACGGGAGTAAAGCTATATGTGGACAGCTAAAAAGATGGCTAGAGAGCAGGAAAAGCAAGACATCTAATCACTGAAGAACAGTTATAAACAGCAATAAAATTAATACCTATATTAAACTAGCAGTGCAAAGATACAAACTGGAAGCAGCTTTACATTAAAAATACAGCTTTTTAAATACAGAAATAGCACCAATTTACAAGACAATCAGAAATGTAAACGTGGCAGGTAGATTCAAGTATAAGTTATACGCTCACCCTCCTCAGCAAACTGTCTTGGGACAGAAAGGTTTCACAAACCCTGCAGAACATCCTGGGTATGCACTTTTCCTCAGTGCAAATACAAATTCTGCTTTTTCAAATCTACTTTCCTGAAGAGTTGTTCCTAGTTTATTTTTCTTCTTAGCTTTCAGTGAAGATGGGAAAGATAAACTCATTCCCTCTGGAAACCAGCTCTTCCCACTCACCAGTCTAGTTCAGCAGCTTAAGTATTGCAAGCAGCATTGATCCCTTTGCTGCCCAACTACTTTGGTGGTCCTGTTCCTGTTTTAGTGACAATTTTGCATTGACAAAAGCAAAACAGCATATCATCCCCCTTCTTCTCCCTGGCCCAAAACTACTTTCGCAACCATGAGCCACAGAACAGCTTTGATCGTGGGGGAGTTGAACCTCATTTCCAGACCTGCTCTATCTATGGAAACTCAAAAATGGAAGCAGAATTGGAAACTGAAGATCCATTTTCAGTCCCTGTGTTTTCAAGTATAGTTAGGTTAGTTATGGCACAGAGTAACATCACTGACAAAGACGATTTTTGCAATGATGCTTCAACTGGAGCAAAGAGCCAGTATTAGCTCTAATCCTCCCCTCTGCTCCCAGCTGCTATTTCACTAAAAGGCTGCACTGTACTAAAAAGACAAGGCTTGGAGAATCTACATCCACCATGTCATAATGAACACTAGCAGCCTGTTTCCAGCCCCAACAGCAACACAAGTGTAGGGGCAGCACTGTGCCAATTACACACTGCTTTTCAAAGTGACATTAATTGAAGTGGGTGTATAAGAAGAAATAATTCAGAAGCAAAAACTGTAAACTTTCATAACTGTAGTGTAATTAAAAAAAGCCCAACCAACCAATAATAAACCCCTTAAATTTAGCAGTCTGAAGACTTCTCTTTACCACCCCTGAAATTTCCTATAACTCTACTATAGATTTTCTTTCAATGAGGGCTAACTAGGCCTCCCTAAAAGGCTGTTATTGGTCTATTCTAAGATAAGGCGACATCACTCAAACACCCAGCTTCACTAAAATTCTTTCTTAAATTCCATTTTCATAATACATTTCCTTACAAAAGTAAAAAGCCTCATCAAACCCCCAACCCCCCAAAAAAGTCCTAGTCTCCCTTGACCAACAAAGTAGCACATCCAACAGTGTATCTACCCTTGGAAAACCAGTACCAGTACCAAGAAGAGTTGATAATGCTGGCCTTCTGTTTGTTAATTCCAGAGAAACACTATGTCAACAGCAACACTTTCTGTCTTTTAAAAACAAGAAACTGTACAAACTGTGGTTTGCTACATGAGTGAAAACATACCCAAGAATAAGAGCATTAACTCTTAAAATTATGTCCTATATCATTAATAGCACCATCCATTATTTGATGACTCTGAATATTAGCTGAGAGATGTTTCTTCCTCTTTATCTTCTGCTTAGGAATACTTTTTTTATCATTTCCCAAATTCAAGACTCCTGCTCTTTTCAGTTTCTTTTTATGATTTAAATAAATACGTGCCAAAAAAGAAGATCTCCCTTGTCTTCCAAGCATGTTCAAATGCACTAGTAACTAGTTACAAAATTCCTGTAAGTGAGGTGTTAGGCACTGAAGTACATACCCCTTAAGCAGACTTAAGTAAACAACTAAGCAGGCACTTAAGTAGACTCAGGTTAGACTGAATCTAATCATGTGGTTAATGACTTACCAGTGTTTCCTGGTCATAAAATCTAGACTATATATTTAAACGGGAGATGAAATCTTAGCACAGCCCTCTCAGTGGCTTGTCACTCTGTCAAATGTAATTAAGGGATCAGGTTTTGTATTTTTTACATTTAACTTGTACATTTTGCTCAGAGTAAAAGAAAAAAGAACCAAAACCCAAAACCTAAGGACTACTACAGTTCATTAACACAAATATAAACATGTTAACATTCACAGTTATTTTGGTCTTAATATTTTTTCACATGTATACATTCAATCATACCGTGTTATTATTAGGTTTTTCTAACCACAAGTGCTGGGAAAATTGTACAACAACCAACTGACATTCAAGTAATCCTACCCTGAGAAAATCTGTTATTCTGAAGCTGAAAAAAAAAAAGACTTTTTTCCACTAAATCCCACTCCAATGTACAAAATAAATAGCAAGAGGCTGCACTGCGGAGGCAGGATTTGACAGATTGGAACTGAGGAAGCAGTTGCTCTCACAACTGCAGAAGTTTATCACTTTTACCACAGATTTACTCAGGGTAAGTAGAGAACATGCAAAAAAAAAATAAAAATGCTTACCCCAGATAAGTGCTAGACATCTCACTTCAAACCATGAATAAAGAACCCCTGGGGACGCCAAGAAAATCTGTTTGCATCTCCTGACAGCAATAAAGTTTCCCAAATTAAAACACCAAATAGAGTTTGATGCGCACAAGGGCATGTGAAACATCTGAATTCAAGTCAGTACTGAAGGAAAAACTCAGTAAAAGGGTTTCAGTACCAAGGATGATTTGTGAAGAAGGTGGCTAACAGAACTGGTGCGTGAATAGATAGTGGGGAAGCATACCAAAAGGGATGACATTTTAACACACTCCTCTTGTCAAGAGCTTGATCTCTTGTAATAGATACAGAGTCCTAGGACAATCTGCCCACCCTTTGCAATGAGTGGAGTTAGTCAGGGCTGGAACTAGAGATTTCCAGTCTCCTCTGCACAGAGCTGGCATTTCTGGTCTGGTTGCCTTCATTTTTCTTCCATGCAACTGGGTCTCCAAGACTTCCAGGAGTTTTGAAAAATGCCTCATGACGCACAGGACGAATGTTCTTGGGAGTGAGGGGAGCTGATGAAGGCTAGTTGTTAAACAAAACCAAAGGGATTCAGTAGGGTTTTCTCAAAGCCTACATGCAAGCATTCAAATAGAAGGCAGCTTGTAGATGTCAACCTCTGTACCCTGTTACTATAGGGAATGACTTCAGACATCCTTTCAGAAGCTCCACAGGCTTTGCCCCTGCTTTTTGTTCTGGAACTGTCTGCCAGCAGTTCTGCCAGATAGCTTCTATCCCATTTCCAACTTAAATGTATTCATGCCTGCTCATTCATTCTTATGCCAATCTTGCCCTTCAGCTTAAATGGCTTTCTCTTCCTTTGTTTTACTCACTTTAGTTGTTTGTTAGCATCAAAATAGGTCTAAAATTAGTCTTCTAAACCCTGACCACTTGTTTTTCAAGTGCCACTCTACTGTAAACTCTATGTGTGACAAGACTGCTTTATGTCACTCATTGTACTTCAGATCAATGGGTCCTTCTTCACTTTTGAATTTCTCATCTTTTTTACTCAAAAAAGTCTGTTTCTGTAGTAGATTTAAAAAAAAAAATCTTTATAAAAAAGATCAACAAAACCTACAAAAAGAATTTTTCCCCCCAGTTCTGATACTGCTATTACTTTTCCATTATTTAGTGAAGAGAGATCAGAACAGGGGTGAGGAGGTACCCCAGGACACTAACACCAGAGAGGTGCTGCAGCCAGCTGACAAACAATCCTCCTGTCCTAATGTGTTTCTGTGGCCATTGCAGAACACAAGATAGTGTCAAATGGAGAAAAAATACTTACCTGCATTTCTGGGGAAAAAAAAAAACCTGTAATCAATTTTTTTTTTCTCTATTCCTGTAAGAGTTTTAAAGATTAAGACTTTCATGACATACTGGCATCAGCCTGCAGCACAAGGTGCCTTCAGGCCCAGTGATCTGGCATGGTGTTTCATTGTCAACCAAACACCTTTCCCACTTACCTGCTGCAGCTTCAGAAGGGTCACTGGATGCCCCATACACACATGGGAGTCCAGTTTAACAGCACCACAAGACCTTGGGAGCGCAGGACTCAGGTGCTGAGCAGGGTGAGTTGGTTGCTGAGGATCCACTGAAGGCACAGGTGAGACCTTGGGGGTGACCACTGCCGTGGTGCCTATGAAAACAGGTGCTGTTGATGCCAGGCTGGACATGCTGAAACTCATGGAGGTGGCAGCTGAAAAGGAGCCATCGGGAACTGTGGGAAGAGGACTGCTGATTGTGGGAGAACAAATAAGAGGGAAGGAAGCCAAGGCTGCTGATGGCAGCATGACACAGGGGACGCTCAGAGAAGGTAACTGGTTTGCAGCAAGATTGATGGCACCAGGGGCTTGGTTTGCAGGGAGCAGGAAATTAAAACTGCTCAATCCTAAACCAAAGATAGAAAAAGCAAAGCATTAATACAGCTGACAAATTAGACTTAAGCTATAACTAGACTTAGCTTAAACTAGAACAGGGAAGAGGTCCAACAACAAAGAGAAAGGCTGTCCTGGAAGTAAACTGTGACAAAAATAGTAAAAAAGAAGCAAGGAAACTGTCACAAACCTGTAACTCCTCTGTCAAGCTCCCTTTCCTCACCTCCATCTCCCCCCCTACTGCCTGTTCACTGTATATACATCCATTTACTTTCTTCACATGAAACGCCAACCACACACCTTGCAGTCTTCTGCTTCTAACTTCAATAGCAAGAAACAGCTTGGCTAAAACCCTCTTTTTTTTTTTTTTTCAATAATGGGAATCTTATCCTCTGCTATATGAAAATATATATGCTGCTTTAAATGAGAAAAAAAACCCAAACACAAAACAAGCTCAAACATACACCCCAAAGATGCTTATTTTCCTGACAAGAGCTGAAATACGGTTTTGAAACAGAAGCTGCTCTGGTTCCCTATTTGTCTGACCTCCCAAAACACCAGGATAAACATTTGCAAACTGAGCAACTTCATCTTATAAGTGAAATCCCATAGACCCAACTGTGCCAGAAATTAATCGAATACTAAAGCAGTAGTCATGGATATCTACCACGTTTCGTGTTCTCACAAACCAGTCTTCCACTCCACACAAACACAGGACAAAAAATAGTGAACATGAAATCCTCCTGCAGTATTTTCAGCTGCTTCCTCTCCATCCCTCCCATGTCCTACAGGTAGGCATGGCTACACTCCCAGTGCCTCAGTTTTTGTGGGGTTACCCCAATGATGCACGTTACAAGACAGTACAAAGTTCATAGCTGACTACATTCACTCACTCAGGGGGATGCTGTTGCACTGTTCTGGCCACCCTATTGCCAAACATAGATTTCCAGCTCCTCTGAGTTTTGAATGCTGGATAAGTGTCTTTTTTTCTGCTGCACATAATTCAACCATGCAAAACCCACATTATTCATTGCTATTAATGTTCGGGTCCTTCAGAAAAATGACTGTATTTTCAGAGAAACGACAGTTCATCTGAAGTCAAGAGAATTCAGAGCTATTATACTACTACAGAGAACTGATGACAGGCTTTTCCTGCCAAATACAGACTTATTCACCTATCTGTAGGCCTCCCTATTTGCTCAGTGAAGAGATGCAGAAGTCTGGGTGCCTCTGGATCTCATGGGTGTCCTTACCAGCAGTAGATTGAACATAGAGATACTGTGGTAGGAAAGGTTGATTGGTGCTTTCTGTAGAGATGTGCACTTTTCCTGGAGAGGGTTCATCAGGGTCTTTATTCTGAGCCCCTTTTTCTTGCTTCTGAGAATCTAACGGCTTAGTAGGCTCATTGTTTGAAGCCTCTGGAGCAGCAGGACTTGTGAGGTCAAGACGAAAAGCTTCTAGATGTACAGCAGAGGTACAGCCACTTCCTGGGGTAGATTCAGCCTTGGGTGACTCTAAAGGCTTCTAAGCAAAAACAAAAGAGGAAATGAAGAGTCCAAACGGAAATAACAGTGCAATATCTCTCATGCGCCTTCCTCAGCTACAGAGTAAAACATGCATCTGTGCAAACGAGCAGCACAAAACTGATTAACAAGTCACCATGTTAAAAAACTTTGAGGGTTTGAAGAACCATATTAGCGATGCCCAAGCCCTGTGCCCCATGCTGTAGTTCACTTTCAGTACTTGAAGACACTGGATAAGAGATACCTGAGCTTGGGGATTAATTTTTTACTGATAAGGAAAAGCACCTGTTTCAATTGGCTTATATTCAAACACTGATACGATCTGGAGCCTGACCCCGATGGTAAGTAGTTAGGAGAACCCTGAGATAGCTGCACTTTACCTTTTACCATCATCCTTCTCCAACATGCCTGCTGTGGGCAACATGGCTTGAGAGAGGGGGACTCATGCTGGAGAGTAGTGGGGAAGTACAAACCACATTTGCTCAGTGGCGTAAGCAATGCTGCTGCTGCTAACTGGGAAAGCTCAAGGTGAAGATGAGGAATAATAGTCACATTAATTCCCTCCCCACTGGCAGGTTGCTTTGTTGAAGACAATGATCAGGACACTGATTCCAAAGAACAGATGAGCATCACATCCCTCTCCAAAGGAATCACACTCCGGTTTCCCCTGGTAGTGTGAAAAATCTCCCAGTTAACGCCTATACTTTATATACAGCCCTCTTACAATTTTATTAACATGTGGGAGGCAGAATTTGTACCTGTAACACGAGTGGTGCAGTGAATTTTCACTTCTGAAAACACTGTCTTGGGCAAAAGTCTTTCCTTGCTGAGAGGAAGCCTAAGAAATAATGAAATTCACTTCTTTACCTTGGATACCACAAGTGAGAGAGGCAGATCCCTCTGTTCCACGGTCTGCTTTTTAGCAACTGGCTCTTCATCATCTACAGGTGCAGAGGGTGATGCGCACTTGTGGGAGCTGCGTTTCTGGCAGACAGCTGAAGGTACGGCAGCCTGAGCTTCTGCATTCCTGTTTCCCACATCTCCTGCACTGGGCAGGCTCTCCCTCAAGTTATTTTCCTGAAGACCACCACACAACATAAAGAGGGATGAAGATGGAAAGCACAGGAACGGTTGGTTAGGGAGCAAGGCAGGTTTTCCATTTTCTGTTTTGGAGGCTGCTAGCGTGGAAGGATGTGGAGCTTGGCTGCTGATGCCATGTGGCAGTGAGAGGCTTGGCACATCTGTCTGAACCACAGGGAAAACTGCCTGAGGCAAAGGGTTAACACAAAATTCAGAGTCTCCAGGAACTGAAAGAAGGGAGAGAGGTGAGGTTACGCTTGGGTTCCTTGCTGATTTTAATACTGTTTCTGTGGCACAAGCTTCATTCCTAAAAGTAATGAAAAAAAGAAAAACATTTAGTCCAAAATTACCCCCCTATTTTATCCTTGAAAGCAAATAGTTACATTGTTGGACATAAACATGGAAAAATCCTGTCCCGCCAGCCACTACTTTACACAGTTTAAAAGATACAAGAAGGGCCACTTTTTATTATTTCTAATTACACAGAAGCAGACTTCTCAGGTTTTGGGCAGAACAATAATGCTCCCTGTTGCACTTAACTAGAATCAATCATTCAGAAATTAATTCGAATTAGTTGTAGATAAGACTCACTGATATGACAGAAAGTCTTTTGCAGGGAATTATGATTTGCTCAGCCTACCTAGACAACAGGGCAAAGGAGGCAGGGATGACCTATATAAACAGATATGAGATGAAGAACTAACAAAGCTGAAGGAAAACAATGGTACAAGTATAAATTGGTAAGTATAAATTGGCCATAAAAAAAAAAAAAGAAAGCCATGGTGAGACCTATTAGCATTAACATAGTAATGAGACCATCCAGTAATTTTCTATCTCGGGCTCATTAACAGAATCTAGCCTTGAACTAAACATGACAAGCACAAATCTGAAACTGGACGGGAGTTAAGACCAACCTACCTAGTATCTTCATCTATTTTCTGCCTGCAGATAGCTGCTGGATTTATCATTTTGGAGCAATATTCATCTGAATTCATAATATAGGCTGAAAGAACAAAGGAACATTCAATTAATAACAGATCTGTTTACCAAGCATATTTTTGTGCTGGCCATATAAAATAATTGGTATAATTTTTCTATCCTGGCACATTTTTATAACGTCCACTAATGACCTACAGCCAGAATCTGCAAGACACTCAGAACTCAGTCCCACTGGAGAGGTGCTCAATATCGTAATTTCCTATAAGAAGGAACTGTAAAACCGTAACTGCTTTGTCTTTTTAACAGCTATCCATTAGATTGTTACAATAAATTCCACTATATTAGAAACCATAAAATAAAGCAAGCTTTTGTGTGGCTAAGGAATCTTTCTTTACCAAATTTTAACAGAAGAAACTGTAGTATAGTTGCAGTTAGTGGAGAACAGAAACATTTACCAGAAAACAAACTGCAGATTTAAGGCAGTATGGCCCAGATTAATCTCATCTAACTTTAGGCACTTGACTGAAGGGTCCAAAACAGAAGTCTCATCACGTGAACAGTAGAAATATAAGCACTTCCCAAGCATCATTCTCATATTTAATGAGTCTGACTCACCCAGTCAAATGCTTTACATTGGTGGGCCCATATTTGGGCAGATCCACTGGGATACAAAAGAACATGCTTCATTAGCAATTACCTTGCCTCTCTTGATGTGGGCTGCTGGGCTCAGAACTGACCTTCCTTCTGGTCTCTTCACAAGACTGTGTGCTGTTAAACGAAGCGTGACGTGTAAACCTTTGCCTTCCAGTAGCACAGATCTGATATGGGACACAGGCTCCTTGTGTCCCTGGCAGAGGATCAGATGTTGGGCTGTGCCCTCTCAGCTCACCTGTAGGAACATGATTTTGTACAACAGACCTTCATGGAATACAGCTCCTCATTTAGGCTTCTGCCATGTTACCAAACTTGGTGATAAAAGGTAACCTCTAGCCTGTCTCAGACCCCACAACATGGAAGCAGACCTAAGCTCAGTATGCACTGGTAGACAAGATACGGGCTTCTTTTCTTTCCGCTCCATGGCACCTGCAGCAGCAGCTACGCTCTAGTGTGCATAATCAGGAGGAAATAGATGGTGTTAACACTGTCCTTTACTTTTACTTGGTCCTGGCAGTGGCCTGACTCAAATATTATTACCAAAATGCTTCCTTTTGCTCTGGCTTCTAGCCATGCAGTTTACAGAGATGCTCTGAGCCACCACCTCCTTCGCAAACAAACCTTCTGTACTAAGGTACACATGCAAGAAACAGCTCTGCTCTACCTTGGTAAATCCGCTTATGAACAAAATAATTCACTCTCTAATTATAACAGAATTACGGAGATTTTGCAACCCAGAAAAGCTGTGGACTCAGATTTGGAGATGTAGGCATTATCTGCCATTGTTCTACAATTTATAGTTACATAAGTTGGTGTAAAAATACCAGCAAGACAGTGTTCTTCAACATCCCTCCACAGCCCTTAGGCCTAAAGTCTAACAAGGGCAAATGTTGAAGTGGCCAGCAGTTAACCACCACAGGGTGGACAATGAATACTGAGCCATTCTTTACAAATCAAAAACAACCTTTTACACTGGGAAGGATTTGTCAAAAAGAAAAGAGATGTGAGCTACCCAAGTTAGTGGTCTTGCCAGGGAATTCCACAGGCCCAATCCACTTGAAGGCTGGTTTGCGTCCTCTTTCCTCTGTGACATGAACTTTCTTGATCAAGCCTAGGCTGGTGAGAACATTGGCAATATCGTACAGTCTTCGTACCTTTGCTAACAGAAAAGGACAGAAATAGTCAGGATAGCTACTTTTACAGCACATACAGTACATATTTACATGGTAATTTTGTTGAGAATAGCACCACAGCTTTCATAGATGAGGGGGTAAAATCAAACTGCGATAGACTTAAGCCACCTCCTATGAAGCCTGCCATACCAGCTCCCACCTGCTTGCCACTGGTTCTTCAGATTTTAGCTGCTTATGCATCTTAGCTGCTCAGGTTTAAGCAAATGGGTTAGCAAATGATTACATCATCATCTTGCCCAGAAAAGGCAGCTACCTCCACATGTGGTGAAGACAAGCACCTGGGGGCAAGAAGCACATGAGTGCAAAGCTCATCACAAAAGGATGCATATTTATCATCTGGAAAATGTAACCCTCTTAGAAAAATAAAATCTCTCCAATAACATGTTTGAACTGAATATGATACCCACAGGTTGTCCAGCTAAATTCCTCCCAGTATTTGGAGTAGAATTTTAAGACTAAAGTGCAAGTACTTTGTTTTAAAAGTACTTTAAAGACACAAAAGTCTTTATTTTAGAATAATTATTTGCTAATGCTGAGTTTTTTCTATGTTGTCCAAGAGATCAAAGTACTAATCCTCACAAACTGAAAAGCAAACAGTGCCATCCAGCTGTGAGAGATTTCTGGGATAAAAAGAAGTAACACATTTCTGCAGAGAAGAAATTTAACTCTGTTAAATTAAACAACATGTTTAATTTCAACAAGTCCAGAAACATCATTTAGAACAGCACAAGAAGTAGGGTTAAAGTATGAAAAAAAAATCCAAACAAAACCAACATTTTTATTTTGATGATAAAATTTGAAGGTAATTGTCAAATGGACTCTTCCCCACCCCAAGCTCTGATTTCACAAACTAGCATTCACAAATAAGAAAAACCCTAAACCATATTTCAGCAAAAGATTCCTGACCTGCTCTTGCCACTACCTACTGGTGTCAGTTCAAACACGCCCCTAATTCCTTTGCTCACAGACTGATTGATTTGCATCTCAACAGCCAGCTTACTTTTAAACTTGCTGTGGTCCACTGTATCCTGGGTTTCTTCTATCAGTATCTTTGCTGCAATGTCCAGAGTGACTATCTTGGTCTTGGAGACAAGGAACAGCATGACAAACTTTTGGCTCATAATCCGCAACGACTTGTCCTTTCTGCTGTTTGCAGATGCTGTGTTACAAATAATACCCAAGCCTCTTAGCATGTCATCCATCATAGCCAGAAAACTAAGTTTCTCACACAGAAAACAGGTAAAGCATTTCCTTGTCAGGAAGCAGAAATCTTTTGAAAGGCAGCAAATAACTGAATAGCGCAGACAGAATTCTCTCTTCGAAAGGCAATAAAAAAATAAAACTTGCAGAAATAGTTTTTAGAATGTCAGATTGCAAAGCTGACTCCACTTTACACTGTTCTGCACCACTATAGTTTTGTGACTCCAAGGGACTTTGTAAGTATGTATTATGCGGGCAGCATGCAAACAGTGGACAAATGGAAGATGGCACCTTCTGTCAGGATAAAGCATTTACTGCCATGTACAGGTGGGGACAGAAGAATTCTGTCACCTCCATGGTGAATTCAGCACCTTTTTGCAAAGAATATTTTTTTACTGTTTAATTTAAAAGCAAAGCAAGGGAAGAAGTCACATAGCAAACTGGAGAAAGAGACTTGTGTCTGTGTATCACATGATACGTATTAGTTATCTTACCAGAGGTGCAATCTGGTTCTGAAAAGTCCATTAAGGATCTGTCTTGAAGATCTGGAATAGTTTCCTTTTTCTGTTCTCCAAATTTGTACTCCAGGTCCTGCTCCTTGTGCTGGAAGACGGTCATTAGCTCTCCATACTGCAGCTGTCCTGCTTCCTGAAGTGTTTTCAGAGTTTGACTGAGGTTGTGCCGGCCATGCCAACAGTACTGGTTCTTGGCCACACGGCTAACCAAGTGCAATGACTCCAGGACATTCACTATATCATAAATTCGTCTTCGTTCAACTCCTGTTTTGAGGTTAGGGGGAGAATAAAAAAAGACACAGATGCTCATCTAGTTTTAATGTGTTCTTCAGCAGAAGTGCAAGAGCAAACAGGCTGTTCTCTAATACTGAGTGTTCACAATATATTTTTCACTGTTCACTTGGACACATTACATTAGATCCATTCTATCTGCACAATTAAGAACTGACTTGTGTATGGCCAGCCGCATGGTATTATGCTCTTTGTCTATCTTCTTTTCTGCTGCCCCACTCAGACCTATCCAGATTGCCCTAAGGTTTCCTGAGCACTCTGGCTCTTCCTGTCAGATTGCTCCAGAGCTCAGACACATACCTATACACAAGCCTGCGTGCAACAGAGGGCAAGAAAGGGTCTGAGCCTGGTGCTGACACAGGGTAGATATAAAAGCCCACTCCTAAAGGAACCACTTGCATTTTGAATGGCACAATTACTTGGTAAGCATATACCAAGCAAAGGAGCCTCAAAGGCTTCACAAGGTGAAAAGCAGTGGAGAGTGAGACTCACTGTTTCCAAATGCAGAAACAAGTCCTCAGTGCTGACTGGGTCTGCCCCAATAGGAAATCTATGAAATATGTCCAGCTTGGGTTCAGCCTGACTGACGTGAGCAAGGTTGAGAACTGAATATGAACAGCCTGGTGACTCTGCTCACTGTTCTGAGTACTCATGTCTAGCACTGTTTGAAGCATGCCTGTTACATGTAACAGTACACTATACACTAGTGGCAACATCTGTACTACAAATCGCATAATGGGTAACATTAGCTGAGCAGACCACGAGCTAGCCCAGGGGAAAGGTTTTTAAAGACTTCTCTGTGGAAGGTGAGGCCTTAATGCATCTGTTTACACATCTGGAAAATACAGATAATACTTACCAGCCTCAAACAGGTATTAGAATAAACAATTCATGAGTATTTCTAAGTGTGTGAAGATTTTGGAGTAAAACATACTCCAGAAGAACATGAGCGATACACATATCCTGTGTCTGTAAGGCACCAGAAGCATAGTTCTCTTTGTGGTCTTTTCCATAGGTCTTTAGTGAACACAGCAATATAAATTTGTAGCAAAAACTGTATTACAGCCATCATTTGTTACACACAGAGAGCAGCAACATCAGCAGTGAATAAATTTGTGGTCTCTGAAGCAAGTGGATATGGGCAGGCAAGGAAGTGAAAACCAAAGGGAGGAAAATAAGCACAGCCCTTTCAGGGAGGTAAAATGCACAACAGTAGGTTTTAAAAACAAAGTTTCTAGTATTAAGGAAAGCAAAGTAACGCCGCTTCAAACACAAAATAAAGTACTACTCATGTTCAGCTGCACAAGGTTGGAGCACAGGCACATCATGCAAACACAGAAAGAAGTAACTACAAAATCTAAAATAGCTATTTAAAAATTAATTTCTTGAACTATTTACTTCATCTGAATTCTCTCCTATTCCCACTTCCTATTACCAAGGCAAATAAATGAGTATTTCAAGGACTTCCTTGGCAGTGTCACAGAGGACATCATTCCTCTGCTCCCTTTCTTTCCAAAACAGGCACATTTCATTTTTGCTTCCTCTTTTCTGGTAAATACCCGAGTTGTAAATGTAAATAAAATATTTATTTAGTTTAAGTTCAATCTTACAAAGCCATGCTTAGCTAAGAGACAACCCATCCAAGGACCTGGATCTTTTTCTTATTTGTGTGACTTGGCTTAGCCCTCTCTCCCAAATTTCATTGCTTCTCTCAGATATTTCATTGATCTTTTAGCTAAGACCAAACCTAACAGGCTACTTGCTACTTGCTACCTTCTTGTCACCTCAGTACAACACATTTTCTCATTCTACTCTTGCAGGTCTCCTGGTAACCTACCCTCACAAGAGAACATTTAAAGCTAAGATAACCTTGATGAACCATGAGATCCTGGAAGATGTAATGTCAGGCATGTTACTGAAGTCAGACAGTAAAGCCAACTGATTTCCTACACTAACTAGTTTGCAATTGCTTCCCCAAACATTGTATTCTGACAAAGGATGTAGTTTATAAGTCTTCTTCAGAAAGTGTGTAGCTCATAACTCCTTCCATGTTCAGCAAATTGAGAATTTAAGCAAGCAGCACGGTTGGTGAACAGCTGGAGGATAGATCCATCTAGTATAAAGTACTGTCAGAAAGGAGATTTTAAGATGGTAGCGTTATCAAGCAGTAAAGACACTTAGCAATATTAGTAATTTCCAAGTCTTTATTAGTATGATTAGAAGAGCATCCAGACCAAGGGAAAGGCAGCCCTTGCATGTACTCTGTAAGAAGGATGACCTTTTAAAGGCCCTCCTGTTGGGCTACCCCAGCTGCTCAGTTATCCCATTTTTGCAGGTATACATACCAAGAATTGAAGCCACTTCATCCAAAGAAATAGTAGTTTTTTCTGTTGACAACGGATAACTTGGATAGCGAGCTAGAAATTTTTGGCACAAGAGTCCTAAGCTTTTCTGTTTTCTGCTGGGCCTCTGCTTTTCAAATTCATCAACCGTGCTGTCGTCTACCATATCATACTGTTAAAAAATAAATGTTAACCCTTTAGTGCAGAGCTTTAGAAGCAAGGCATAGCCAAGTGAGGTATATTCCAGATGTTAGCAGTATTTAAGCTCGGACTTTCTAGTAAGGAAAAACCATGAACACCTTGCAAGCACAGAGCACTTGGGTGACACATTTTGCTTGCAAGCTCTTTTTAATTCATCACACAAGATATCTACAGAGAAACTTATCTGTGAGATCATAAAATAACAATTATGCTTCAGGAAAAAATAAAACAACCAGTGAGACCAAACACATAGACTAGCAGATGTCAAGATCCTACTTGGAAGGAATATTTCTTTTTGAGAGGAGGAGGAATATTCCCTCAAACACCTCTGGATCTAATAAACCAGAAGATGTACAAGCCATCAAAGAGTTCCTGCCAAACTTCTTTCAATAGATTTTACTGCCCTTTACAGTGCCTCTATAACTTTAAGAAATTAGAGGCTGAGGTGTTGGGCATGATGGTAAGACACTATAAAAGGCATTATCAAGTGCCTTAAGGTCTGAACCTCAAACTCAGTTAAGCTGTTAGCTTATGTGAATTCTGTAGGATAGCCTGAATATGGTATTTCTGTCCCTGCAGGGAAAAAGACCCCAGAAAACTGTGATGGCAAGAAGAGGTATGTTAATTTATTACAAAATGAGAATGATGGAGGCTTTTTCTGTGCTGGTAGCTCTTGAAGTTTTGACTCTGTGTCTAAGAAAGGTGAGAAAGAAATAATCATGTTCTCTGGTAAAGAAAAGCTGAGAGTGGTGGCAGCTGTTGAAATCCGTGTTTCCTTGCTTATGAGATCTTAACTGTCCTTTGGCAGTTGTGACCTTGTGGCAGGCTGTTGCTCTGATTGAATTCTTAAGAGTTTTATATGGTATGGGAAGGGTGGTATCTTACAGTAACACTCTTTTGCAAGTTAAGTGGAGAAAATTAAGTGTTTTACTAAATAGGAAATATTTGAACTCTTCATAGTAGCCATCTCAAAAATACCATATGACCTTAGTGGGCTTGCAGTGGTAATGAACTAACTTTTAACACTGACTGGTGTTTTACTTACTATGTTAGGAATTACCTTTAGAACTGTTTGCTCCTTTATGGCTAAATTGGAGAATTCTCCAGACTACTGTCACTGTAGGTCCTGGAAAATCTACACTTGCAGAGTGATCTGTACCTATCAGATGATGCTTCTCAATAGGAAGGCCCCAGAACTATCTTCCTCTGACTTAAATCACAGAAGAAGGATATTCTAGAAGAAGCAATCCAGGACAGGGACAGCAGTGGCTGGAATGAAAATAAGTCTGAAGAAAGGAAACTAACGACGCATATTACAACCTGACGTCATCCTCTCCACGGATAGCTTTCCTAAAGGGAGGACAGGGATCAGCCCCTACATTGCCTGAGTCTTGGCAAGTAAAAATTTGATTAACACTTGACCATCCTTGCTGACTACTAGTTTGGGGCTGGTGTGGAAAGGGGGAAAAAGGTTTCAGCTCATCACCATGTGGGTCTGTTGTGGACATGGTAGAAGATTTCAAAAATATATTGAAAACTACGCACTCCCATTGTCAAAATGCTCTTGAAAATCCTGCTTGTATGGTTAAAAATGATCTGGAAATTTTCTTTCTAATGCAGTTCAAAAAATAGTGTCAGAAGTACTTAAGTTGGGGAAAATGACCCATTTAAGCTCTACTTCCTTCACTGTCCCTTAAGTAATATTCAGGCTTTTGAAGGGTCTCAGGTCAGTTACTAGTAGAACAATTACTTTTAGTCTTTGCAAGTCCTGCTGTTCAGCCAGTGCTGTGCAGGCAACCGTCCTTGGCAATATTTTATAATTCTGCAGTCTTCCATAGGAAACAAAGGACCAGTTGGAATAAAAGTGAGGCACAATTTAAGGAAGGTCTGAGTCCTACGTGAACATAAGGTAATCGTGTTCTGAATCTCACCTGTAACGAATCAGGTGTGTCACTCTGCTCACTGTTTTCTATGGGTCTGAAGAGCTCTTTCTTCTTTTCTCGGTCCCTCATGTCAGGGCTAGCAGCACTAATAAGCATCTTCAGGTTAGCAGTGGGGGTCCAGGGATCCGGCTGAGGTCTGTCAATGAGCTTAACAGGTGTAATTGGATTTCTTTCTGGGGTGCAGCCTTTTTGCTTTGATAAATCAACTGGTTCATTCTTAATGGGAGTCTTTGGGGCCATCCTGGATCGATCAAATATGTTTTCCTGTTAATAAAAAAAAACAGTTCTTTAGACACAGCAGGAAAGAAACCGTCCAACAATCAATGTAATTGTTCTTATGAAGGTAATTGTAGTGACTCATGCCTTGGCATTCGCAGCTATATTTAGCATGGCTCTTCTGCCTCTGTTGGAAGGAGTAAAATAGTCAACATGTTACTGTACTTGAAGCAGTGTGTAAGAGATACTGCCCTGAATTACAGAGCCTGAGGTCAACCAGTCAAACTTGTGGCCTATTAGGCTTTTAAACTCTGACTGTTATTACAAGACAGCATTGCCCCCAAACATAAATCACTAAAACGGATCGAAACTGAGATAATGCATAGGTCATGTTACAGTTAGCAAGAAAACATGTTCTTTTGCTTAAGAAGTCCCCAATGAAAAGCCATGGTAGGGATGCAGCTTACACTGTCATAAAATGTCAAACTGAAGTGGCTGTAACTTCATGTGCAAGTGATGCAAGCTTTGCATCTGCACTATCTACTGCTCAAAACAATGAAGAAAAATCTCCATAACTATTCACTGACTGTAGCTAAGAGCTGCTAGAAGGAAAAGTCTAATTCATTAGCTGATTTTTATCATTCTTTGAATGAAGACCAACTCCCTCCAGTTTCTAGCTGCAGTCAAACTTTCTTCATATTTCACCTTTGGGTCCAGTTTTACCCCTTCCTCTTACTGGAAGAATTATCACTACTGATCAAATAATCTCAAGGGACTGGCTGAATAAAGAAGGCATCAGGGTATCTTTGAGCCAAGATATCCATTTTTGAGCAACAAGTGACAGTACTTCTCTCTAGCCTGTTAGTGCAAATAGCTTGTGAAAACTAGAGGAATAAAGTAGACAGGATGCTATACTGGCTTTCTTTGCAGGGTATCAAAAATTGAGGTCCAGGTATTCTAAATGTGGTACAGAACAGAGCTTCCAAAAATGCCCATGCAGAAAATTGTACTGTATCTTTTTGCCCAGGGAGATTGATGTTCTGTTCTTAGATAGTACAGCTATAACTTAATTCTCCTTAATACCCTAGAAAAAGGACACTGGGGTTTTTTTGAACTCAAGGTTATTATTATTCAGTAGCTTCCAGATTTAGGCCCTTAAAATGATTGCAGGCACCTTGAGTGAAGTGAGAAAAAGTGAAGCTGACAGATTATCGTCAGAAAGCTAGCTGGAATTGGGAGTGAAGCCTTTAGAACCACAGCTAACTGCTTTTAAATTATAAATCGGGCTTGAAGTTGTTAGCTCTTCAGTCTAGCTGTGCGTTTTACGGTGGTGTCTCAAACTGAGTAAGTCTTCTTGCTCAGACTAAGATTACCACTTCCTTTTTTCAAAATGAGTTTTAAAAATCTAACATGACACCTTTGAGGCTGGATATTATGTATTTTATTTTGAGCAGCAAGAAGTTCAATTCTGAAATGGAATACAGCCTGAAAGAAAATGTTAAGTTACTATTGGTTTGCTATAAGAACTCTCCCAAGTTTTGCCTTTTATTTGGAACAATTCAGCTATCATCAGCTGAAAGATATTTAAATAAGCAATTCCAAATATCATCTTATCAGGTACAGTCTAGCTAGGAAGCAGACATGTTCCAGTAAAAACTGAAGCTGGCTTTTACTAGGAGCAGCTCTGTAGCATCCAAACTGAAAATGAATTTGGCCCATCAAAAGCATTATGCTCTGAGCACTGATGAAGAACACTTCTCCATGCATTCACCTATGAATTACACAAAAGGATGTTATAAATGTACCTCCTTTTACAATTAACAGCCAGTTGTAACATAACTACACTGTAATAAATATGGGTCAACTTAGATGCCACTGTATTTCTTGGAATATATGTTCACATAGTGTTGGCGCTCCATATTCTTGCAACTTTACATTCGGCAGTGAATCAACACTTAATCTGTATCAGAGAAAGTCTACCTTCCCCTCAAGTTCCTGCTCACTATACCTGGTGCTAATGGAACTGCAGCAAGGGCAGCTGAAGCAACTTGCTGTTCCACTACCTCAAATGCTCATGTTTGTGTAAATACCACAATGAAAAAAGTAGTGGCACTGTAAAAGAAGCACACATCTACTATCAACATGACAGATCTTTACTGCCTACTAAAGTAAGAAATGCTTTTACCCTTGTCAGTAACTGCAATGCTTTATGTGAACTTCCAGCTGTATTCCACAGAACTCAAAGGCCAGTTGGCATAAGTGTGAGATTCACCTTGATCCAAGCAGAGATGGCTTTCAAATACAAGAGGACAGGACAGGCTGGCTTAATGAGCCTAGTATGTAAACAGGAATTCAGATTTCTGAGACAATAGGAGCTGAATCTGACAAGAATTATGTGATCTTTGGATGACTCCTGATTGAACATGGACAGCAGGTCATGAATCGGGTCTAGTTCAAGAGATGTTACTGAGCAAAATATGTCCGAGGCTAGATACCCTGTCTCCTGGCTGCTAAGGTAGGAGAGGAATAACGAGCTTGTTCCTTGCTGAGTAGCACTGCTCAGTCTCTTGACCTGGGAACATCATTGTGCGGATACAGACCAGAAGGCAAGCATAGTAAAATGTGCATCAGCATGCTCAAATACTAAATAACAGGACCACATGCTGCCCATGTCATGTCAGGCCCGGTTTTGCAGGGTGAGTCTGTAGAAGAGCCTTCTCCACCTTACCCAGCAGTAGCCACTGGGATGGTTGAGATCACGTAGTAGCGAGTAGTGAGTGAAAGCTAAAAACTGTTTCTCTGGGAATGATGCCAGAGCGCAATCATTTCACTTACTGACAACAGTGGGGTGGCTCATGATTGATTTACTGACTTGTCTTTTTATCTTAACGGTAGCGCTGGCCACCCCTGTGCTCCAAGTGCCAACAGGTAAGATGCTGCTGCGCAGGCAGAACACGGCAGGGCGGGCCAGGTGTACTGGTCCAGTGGGCAGCACCCCAAATGCGGTCAGCAGGGGCGTGAGGGACACGATCCAGGCCCGACCTGCCTCCCAGCCCCGAGGGTCGAGGCCCTGCACACACGGACCGGGGCTGTGGCGCCGCGGCCGTAACCCGCTCTGCCCGGTGGGGTGCCCTAGTCCTCGGAAGTACCGGCCGCCCCCACCAGAGCTCCGCGCTGCGCACTGGCCGACACCGGGACAGGGGGACTAACGTGTGAGAGGACCCCGCAGCGCTGAGGACAGACCGCGGCCGCCACTGCCCCAACACCCCGCGCCCGCTCACCTTCTGGGCGGCAGCCTCAGCGCGGCCCCGCCGCCCCGGCCGGCCGCTCGCCAGGTTCCGCAGAGCCAGGACGCTCACCTCCATCTACAAAGCGAGAAGGCGCTTTTAGCCCGGCCCTTAAGAGGAGCCGCTCCCGCCCCGGGGCAGTGCGCCCGAGCCCGGCGGGAGGCGAGCGGAGCGCGGCACCTCGGGACTCACCCTCCCAGGGCCGGGAGGGGCTCCGCGCCCTCACCTCGGCTGTGGGGGAGGTGGGGGGGAGCAGGCGGGGGGCGCGCTCGGCCGTACCATTCCCGCCAGGACGCCCTCAGACATCGCATTTACAATCCGGCCAATCAGGCGCGGCCCGCCGGGGAGCCCCGGCCGCGCGGCCGGCCAATCAGCGCGCGGGCTGGCGGCGCGCGGCGGCGGGGCGCGGGACAGGGCTCCCGCCCGCGCGGGGCCGCTTCGCTCTCTTTTCTTCGCGCCGGCCCTCCCACTGCACCCCCGCCCCCCAGCTCTCCGGCCGCCGGCGCGAGGCGGGCAGTTGGCGGGCGGGAAAGGGTGGCCTGAGGCGGGAGGCTGGGGGGTGACTGCCCTCGATCCTTTGTGGGGCGGGTCTGTGGCTGAGGGGATAGTTGCCGGTGGGGATGGGGGGGAGCACACGGTACTCTTTCCCGGGGCTCTCTGGTTCAGTTCTTAAACCCCTGAGGGCGGAGGAAGGGCTGAGGCAGTGTTAGGCGGGTGTAGCCTTTGTCGCCCGGTCGCCGGCTCACGCTAAGCGCCGTCAGGGTGGTCGCGCTCTTGGAGAGCAGCACAGCGGGGTGGGGGCTGCTGCTCCTCGCGGGGCGCTGGGTACGGGAGCTCCCCTCGCGGGGTTCCTGCGGGCAGCCCGCAGCGCTGCACGGGGCGCTCCTCACGGTCACCCTTGAAACGAGCCTGGTGCCTGGAGGGTAAAGGGAGCAGGCGCTTTGGGGAGCAGTCTGGGCGCAGGAAACTTTCCAGGAGCCCCTAGTGAGTCTGCTCTGGGCTTTTACCTCCCTTGGTAACTCACAGCGTACCGAGGTAAGGGAAGAACTGGGAGAGAGCGTTGTCCGAAGCGAACACATCAAATCCCGACAGTGGAGCTGTGCAGTGATGAGCTCTTGGTCCTGTTTTGAGACACGTGTCTCGTAGTATGGGGACACGTTACAAGAAATTGTCAGTTCTGCTGTATAGAACTGCTTCAGCCTTGTAAGCTTGAGACCCTTTCTGGAGAAATTTCCTCCGTGCAATGTAATTGATCTTGCTTTTTAAATTGAGTTTGTACTTAAGATATTTCTTTTTTTTTCTTATGCTAATGACAGATGTGCTGCTGCATTGTTCCTGTCTTGTTTTGTCGTAGGAGGATTTCCTTCTCAAATTGCTCATGAGCTAATAATGAGGAGTCACAGAAGAAAAACCCCGATCCACAATTCTGATAATTTATAAAAATAATAATTTATTAATTTTTGAGGAACAGATACAGCCTTTTTTATTCTGTATGGCTGTATACATAATAGGTAGCTATTAACTCTCTTGCATTAACTTTATTAATTTTTAATCTATTCTAATTTTTATTTTTCAGCAAGTTGCAGTACACCACATTTTGTTCAAGAGAATCATTTATGAACTCCCAGAGAACCTCTTCTTAAGAACATGAAAGTGCTTTACAAAAAAGCCCTGTACACTTTTAAACCTTGATCTAACACCTAGAGGAAAATTAATTCCATAATTGCAAAGTATATCAGTATGTCTTTGCATCCATGGCACTTATAAAGAAAGAGACTTTCTAATGAGTAAGAGCGTTTCTAACGAGTAACCTGTTACTACTGTTCTCACGCATTAGAACTCTGAGAACAGACTCATGAGAATCATGAGAGATGCCAAGTCATGGAAAATCAAAACAAGAAGCTCACGTCGCACACAGACATGCCCAGGCACGAACTCTAGGCCAAGTTAAAGAAGTTGAGAAGGGAGTTTAGCAGCTGAGAGGCTGCTTGTGTGCTGCACACCTGTGACAGGAAATTGCCATCTGGCTCCTTTAGTCATCTGCTTAAACTAAAATGACACAAAAAAAATACATTCTCAGACCTTTGTCTTAGGTCTGTCACAGGCAACTGTGTATCCGTTGCCAATTAATAACATCTATGATAAGGTATTGCATGATGTGAAAGTTTAATATGTCTAACTGTGTTTGCAGGTCTATTACAGACTTGTTGGTTAAGAGTTTAATGGTGGTCAGGACCCTAATACTTGAGTCTTGCTGAAATACTATGGTATGTGCATGTAGAAGGTCATTTGATCATTAGAAGAATTTTTTCTAGCCTTTGAAATTTGGTCATTTATAAGTGATAGAGCAGAAATCTGTAGGTTGGCATGAGACTGGGGAGGCCTCAGCCCAGATACTTGTCAATATTGACTATGGGCTATGTAGTCAGTACGGCACATCTAGCTGAGGTGTTACTGACTTGTAATACCATCATTTTGCTGCTGGAATGGACCTGGGGCCTTATTCGACACTCAGGGCTTGTGACTGTTCTTACTTTAGGTTAAGGATGCCTCTGAATACAAATTCCATTACTAGAAGTCACCAAGGGAGAACTAATTTGAATCAAGTTTGATGCCTTAGCTAAATTTTGCTGATGTTTTCCACGCCCAGTGTTCTTGGCAGCTGAACAGCTCACTGCTGGAAGGAAACCGGCTGAAATGATGGAACAGCTTTCTTCTGGAAAAGCCACAGTCAGTTGAAGATGAGATGAGTGAGATGGATCTTCAACGGGCTGGAAGCTCAGCCTGTTTGCTGGGTGAAATTCAGCCCCCAGAGTGTTATGGAGCCCAGCATGTGCACAGGAAGCAGAAAATAAAGTCAGAGGGAGAGAGATGGCAGTCCTGTGCTAAAGTGGGGTGCTAGAGCCCACTTTGGCATGGGGTGCAATGTGGGGTATGAGTTGCGTATATAGGCTAAGGTGGAAGAAGTGAGGTGTAGCACCATACAGGCGGCTGTGGGAGCTGCAGTGGGTGTGAAGGGACACTGGGTACTGGTTTAGTCTAAGGAAGTGACGTGTAATTAGACTGGAGGAACCCCTTCCATGGGAGGTGGTGGCTATGATTTGGATACAGTAATTACACTTCTGTAAAATGGAACACAGAATATTCAGAATTAACATATTAATCTTAAGCTGTTACACAATGCAAAGAACATATATAACATGAAAATATACTATGTTTGTTAATCAATGCTCATTTTTTCCGTAAAATCATACACAGTATTGTAATACATTTTCTAAGCTCATTTTTTGTTCAGTGAAATAAACAAACAAATCTCTGATAGTGGAACAAAACCTTAAGTGCTAAACATTTTGTGAGTTAATCAGAACAAAGCTATGACACTGCATTTCCTCTCCTGGCTGTAGCAGCTGAAAGAAGCTTGCTGATTATCAGATAAGATTAATTATTGCAACCATACACACATATATCATAATATGCTCCAAGATAATTTTACATCTATCTATACATACAGGTGATCCACTACAACTAGCAGGAATGAGTTAACAAATTGACTACTAAATTTAAGTACAAATGCCTGTTCTTGAATGTTTTTGTTATACAATTTCGTTACAGGACCAAAAAAAACCTGTCTGATTATTTACGATTTTGTTTGAATAATACATGGACTAATATATATGTATAACATGAATATTATTAAGAATTAAGCATAAACATTAATTTCCCTGCATTTGTTTCCAGATTTGAAAATACAGTATTTCATGTAAGGTAGAGGTGAAGGTGCCAATTTTTTGTAAAGAAAGAAAATACCTTTGGCAGGGAAAATGAATGAAAACAAATCATATCAATATATCCAACAGTACTTTCCATCACAGAATAGGAAATAGTTTTTGAGACATAAGTACTTTTAAACCTTTATGACTTCTTTAATACAAAAAGTATGGCTGGTCAAAAACCTCATAGTTCCTCTCTTCTCTCTCTTCACAGCTGCCTTTTCCTATGAGCTCAGTGATGGTGGAATTTTTTTCTCTGTCTTTGCTGATATTTGGAAATTCAGTGTGAAAGCTATGAGAGAGGAAGAGACAGATCCACACACAGATTGAATTATGAGGTTTTATTTCCTTTAAAAGCCAGACTGAGTCACCCGATTGCTGAGCCATCAGGGAATCTGCGTGCACCAGCGCTCTCACCAATGAAGCTAGTGGTGCGCCTAGTGCCTGTTGCAGATCACTTCCCAAGCTCCTCCTGGCCTGGGTGTCATCCCCTCCCTCGGGCAAGATAGAAGTTCCCACCCATTAGTGACCTTAGGCTGCCTTAGATCAGACAGGTTCTGCAGCGGCAGTAGCCACAACCGTTTGACATTCAAGAACAGCCAGAAGAGGCTGCATTAAGAGTGATTCTATGGACATCTGGCATCAGCAACTGTGGCTAAAATACAAAGGCAGGGCTGAGAGTGGGACTTGGACATAGCAAGGCCCTTTTATCACCATGCTGTTGGTCATGTGCTCTTGCATTCTCTGTGATGCAGACCCCCAGCTCTGACAGGAGCAACGAGCAACGAGGGGGGGTGGGGGGGGGGCGGTGGACACAAGTAGAGGAGCACAGCTGGGTGTCTCAGGTAAATGACAGGTAAGATACACGTGTTGGAAACCATTCGAGTGAGGACTGCATTGAAGGAGCCTCACAGTTTCTGAGTGGTCTGGCTGCTTAACTGCTCTTACCAGTATCATTGCTTTGTCCCTTGGCTCTGTCTTATCTGTAAAAAGACTAGGTGATTTCCTTGGATCAGTCAAGGAAGGTGCTGATGATGTTTAACCTGAGGCTACAAGCTTGTAGAAGAACTTCAGATCTTTGGTATTTCCCGTTGCTTAATTCAGGTGGAGCCCTGCTCAGGGTTGAGATTTGCAGGAGGCAACCGTTTGCCTAGTGGGTAGTGTAGATAGGCACTCCAGATGGTTCGAGAAATCCCTTCTGGGAGCTGAGCAACTGGTACAGCCGTACCTCCCTTCTTTTATGGGTCCGATCTCAAGGAACCTGCCAAAGGTCACATAAGGAAGCAGACAGCTGGCTAAATCACATCTATTTAATCAGCTTTGCACCTGAAAATCACTTCCAGCTGCTGCTTTTACAAAAAGCTGAATCCTTCACAAAGGTAGCATTACCCCTCCAGTGATTATTATATACTGCAGTTAAATTGCTCTTTGCATACTGAAATTAGTGGTCAGCTCTGTGTAAGGTTAGAATTTCATTACTCTTCTCTGAG